GCGGCCCACCGGGCACTTGCCCGGTGTGCCCGATGGCCAGTCCGGGCCTGTTTGTTGCTGTCCCATCTGTCCCAAGCCTCAGTCCAGTAGGATTTGGTATGTGTTGATTTCCTTGCTGCTATTTCGTAGGTTTTGGAAGTTTCTATAGCTGTGATACACTGGCTGATCGTGGGGGCAGTGGTCTGTTTCCATTTTCTGCTTATGACGGTGAGGGCAGCTATGCAGATGTGATACAACAAGTACCTGGTATGGACGTGAGGTGTTTTGGGGAGGAGTAGCAGTAGGAATAGTTCAGGTATCAAAGTAATTTGCATTTGGGTGCAGCGGGTCGTTAGGTTTAGAACTTGTGACCAGAACTGTTTCAATAGTGGGCATTGCCACCATATGTGAAGCAGGGTGCCTCGGTCGCGTTGGCAGCGCCAGCACGCGTCTGACATATTCGGGTAGCTATGTTTTAGTCTCGTTGGTACAAGATACCACCTATACAGCAATTTACGAGAAAGTTCTGTGTGGGATGTGCAGAGGGTTAATTTATTGTTGGCGCGGTAGATATTTTGCCATTGTTCGTTTGTAAGTTCGTGCCCGATATCCTTTTCCCATGCTATCCTGAAGGAGGGTAATGTGCCTTGGGTATTTGTTTGTTCTGAGGCGTAAAGTGTCGAAATGATTTTTGTTGCCGGTTTTGTCTTGGTGCATATCTCTGTCAGTTTGAGCCAGTTGGGGTCGGGTGGGAGTGCAGTTTGATGCGGTTTGTGTAGGTTAATCCATGATTGTAGCTGGATGTAGGAGAAGGTCGCTGTCGTTGGCATTTGAAATTCTTCACATAGATCTGCGAGTTTTTTGAGTTCGGTACCCTGCATTACTTGCGACAGCGTGGAGATACCATGTCTGCGCCATAGTTTGTGGTTGAAGTTCGGGATAAGGTGCTGGATCGTTTCTATTGGGGTTGCTGGTGACATGGGTGATGTGTTCCCCTGTTTTTTGCGGTAGTCGTCCCATAAAGAGAGAGTAAGTATTGTTGTCGGTAGCATTTCTGATGCTTTGGGTCTATGGTTCGGCGGCATCCATGCCATGGTGGGAAGTGAGATGCCTTTGGCTCTATGTTTCTCCAGTTCGACCCATGTCATGGGAGTCGGGCGGTGAGACGCTGCAATAAGTGGGGCAATCTGCGCTGCTCTATAATATCCTTTGACATCTGGTAGACCCATCCCTCCTTGGGCTCGTGCAGAGACCATCGTGTTTAGGGCTACTCTTGGTTTTTTGTGGTCCCATATGTAATCATTTATCGTATTTTGTAAGTCTTTCAAGAACTTGTTGGGAAGCTTAAGTGGAAGCGTGCGAAACATATACTGAATTTTTGGTAAGATCACCATTTTTACAGAGGCTATTCGGCCCGTCCATGATATATATTTGCCCCTCCAGCTATGTAGCAAGGTTCGAATTTCTGTGAGGAGTTTGACATAGTTGGCTTTGTATAGGGAGTTCGTGGATGGTGTGAAGAGGATGCCTAAGAATTTGATGTGGTCCCGCCTCCAGTCATAATTAAAGTTAGCTTTGAGAATTGGTAGTTCTTGATCTGGAATGTTGACACCTAGGGCGAGTGTTTTTGAGATATTTAATTTATAATAAGAGCAGGCGCTGAATTGGGAGAGGATTTTGTGGAAGTTGGGCAGGGATATGTGCGGTTGTTCTAAGGTGAGGAGGATGTCATCCGCAAATAGAGATAGTTTATATTCTCGGTTCTTAATTTTAATTCCATGTATATTGGGGTTGTCTCTGATCATTTGGGTGAGGGGTTCTAGTGTCAGGATGTAGAGGAGTGGGGAGAGGGGGCAGCCCTGTCTGGAGCCATTAGAGATGTGGAAAGGTTTCGATATGAATCCCCCGTTTACCACTTTAGCCGTTGGTGAGGAGTAGAGTGCCGTGATAAGTGCTAGAAATTGAGGGGGAAACTCGAATTTTCGGAGTACTGCCATCAGAAAGGGCCAATGCAACCTGTCAAAGGCTTTTTCAGCGTCTAGTGATACTAGGACGCTAGGGGTTTTATTCCGTTGGATCTCGTAGAGTAGGTCTAGTGTTTTCCTCGTGCCGTCTGCTCCCTGTCTACCACCCACAAATCCCACCTGATCTTCCTGTATCAGTGAGGGTATGATGTGTGCCAACCTATTAGAGAAAATTTTTGCTATGAGTTTCACGTCCGTGTTTAACAGGGAGATGGGACGGAGGTTTTGGCATCTATTGGGAGGTTTCCCTGGCTTAGGGAGGGTGGCAACATGGGCCATTAGCATCTCTCTCGGCAGTGTGCCTGTCAGTGTGGTGTGGTGATATACCCTTTGTAGGTAGGGGGCTAGGAGTGGTGCGAATTGTTTATAATAGGCATTAGTCATGCCATCAGGGCCTGGTGATTTCCCAGGGGGTAAGGAGTTAATTGTTTCTAGGATTTCCTGTGTGGTGACCTGAAGCTGAATGGCTTTCTTTTGCGTGGCAGTGAGAGTGGGCAGTTGGGTCTTCGCAAGAAATTCTTCAATTTCTATCGTGTTCGGTTGGTGTAGCGTGGGGTCTGTGCGCAAGTTATATAGGGAGTGGTAATAGTCAGCCATGTTGTCATTGATGTCTTGCGGGTTGTATATTTTGTCGCCCTTAGCGGTGATCAGGTGAGGGATTTTGGAGTTGGATTGTTGCTTTTTGAGCATTGTGGCTAGGTGCTTTCCAGCTCTGTTGCCCTGGGTGTATGTTCTCAATTTCAGTTTGTTAAGAATGTGGGTCGTTTTTTCAAGAGACAGTGCGTTAAGTTGCTTGGTGATTTTTTGTATTTCTTCAGCGTAGGCGGTGGAGGGGGTTAGGAGGTGAGCTGCGGTGGTATCTCTCAATTTTCGTAGGAGGTCTGTATGGTGTTTTTCTCGCTTACGTTTCAGGTAGGATGCGCGGCTGATTAGTAAGCCTCTCAATACCGTTTTATGGGCTTGCCATATTGAGAATATGGAGACATCTGGGGTATCATTTGTCTTGAAGAAGTCTTTTAAGTTCGCTGTCAGCAGCGCTGTGAATTTTTGGTCGTATAGCAGTGAGTCATTGAGGCGCCATGGTGGTTTGCCTCGATGTTGATAGGCGGAGTGTAAGGTCATTGTTATCGGGGCATGATCGGACCATACTATATTGCCGATGGAGCAGTTTTCTATGTGTGGGAGTAACGTGCCAGAGGCGAGGATATGGTCTATCCTGGAGAAGGTTTTATGTACTTGTGAGAAGAAGGTATATTCCTTTCCGGAGGGGTGTTTTGTTCTCCATACATCATATAAGCTATTTTCGTGGATAAGCTTGGTAAAAGCCTTGGTGTGGGACTTGAGATTATGGTGCCTTGTCGACGTATTTGGGATGGTCGAATCCATGCACATGTCCATGACGTGGTTGTAATCGCCACATATGATCTTGGGGTCATTCACGCCTTCAGGGAGTTTGGCAAGAATTTTGTGTAAGAAGTTACGTTGTTGTTCGTTTGGGCTATAGAGGCATACTATGACATAGGGTTGCTCATTTATTCTGCAGTGTAGAATTATGTACCTACCCTGGTTGTCTTTTTTGACCCTGAGAGTTTCTACTGTTAGAGAGTTATGTAACAATATGGATACGCCTCTGGATTTGGAGGTATGGGTGGCATGGAGTTGCGTGGGGTAGTCTCTGAGGGCAAAGGTTGGGACTTTAGTGGAAACGAAGTGCGTTTCTTGTATGCAGACTATGTCTGCTTTGATTTGTTTTATGTCATTGAGGAGCATGCGTCGTTAGTGTGGCGTATTTAGGCCCTTGGTGTTATGCGAGTAGATTAGCATGTTCTGTAGAGTGTGTTATGAGGTGTGGAGAGTTGTCTGGAGTGTGTGCAGTCCGGGTTAGTGGTGGGTGATCCTCTGTGTTGGGAGGTATTGGTGGGGGTGGGTCGGTTGTGGGAAGGTGATGAGGTATTGTATAGGTAGGGGTGTTATGTACAGGACCTAGTGGTCTGGTACGCTATGTGTACCTGGGGGGTAGGAGCGAGAGCTTCCGGATACGTGGCTAAGCGGGCTCCTAGTTGATTTAATAGATTAGAGCTGAAAACATATAAATGAGGCTGGCAAACAGTGCAGCAAACATTAACATTAAACGATAACATTGGTTGCAAAAGACAGACAAGGATCCTTGCTTGACCTGGCGTTATGGAGTTTAAATACTCTGAGGTGTTACGCGTTAAGGGATCAAGGGTTCCCTCGCGGGTTTGCTTGAGCGTGCCCATATGCGGGTTATTTGCTCTAGGGCATTCCCACATCCACTAATATGGGGCGACTTTAATGCCGCATTATGTCGCTGTCCCAGGCAGATATATTATTGGGCAAGCTTAGCCCACAGTGCGTGTCTCTGTTGTGGACCGGGGGCCACATAAGTGGTGCAAGAAGAAGATACATGTATAATAAGTTTTTTTTTTTTTCTTCCCTCGTGGGCTTCATGGGGCATATTATAACATTGAATGTGTCCATAGTCCCTTGATAAGCATAACTTCACGCTTTAGCTTACTGTAGCTGTCATAATGCACTAGAAAGCTGGGCTTCCAGCGACATGGTTCAGGGTAGTGAGTGGAGCGTGGCACATGGGTATGGGCATTTTGTGAGCTGACCCCAGGGGGGGGAGAGGTGGCTCATGAGTGTGGAGTTTGAGCCGTTAGTGGAGACTGCCCCATGGGTTTACACCCACTCCGCTTCAATCGTGTCATATAAGGCTAACTTGCCTGGAGATGGGAGTGGGGGGGTGTATGGGTGGGTAGTCACCCGTTTTATTCAGGGTCCCCCGGGGGTGTACGCTACCCTATGGTTTGGGTCACTGCGGGTGCTGGGACATAGGGGGCGGCTGGGTGTACAGGGCTCAGAGGCAGCGCAGGCAGCTATCATCTACCTACTAGAGCGCAATAAAGTAAGCACAGGTAAGCATTAAATGATACTTGCGTCAGGTGCATTATGTCTTTGTAAATTGGTGGATCAGTCCATGGCGGCATTTCTGCCTGGGCGGCGTTTATCGTGCCGCTGTTCTCCTGGTTGTTCTTTTAGTAGGCCCCATTTCTCGATCAGCTGTAATCCTTCTTCTGGTGATGATATGATGGACGTCTTCCCGCCTTTGGTAAGGATTAATTTCGTGGGGAATCCCCACCGATATCGGATCCCATGGCTGCGGAGAACCGTGGTGGTCTGGGAGTAATCCCTTCTGCGACGGAGTGTAGCTGGTGAAAGGTCCGCCATGATGCGCACCGATGGGAAGTCGTCGTGGGGGTCCCCTCTGTTTCGGTGGGATCGTAGGACCAGTTCCTTGATGTGAAAGTAATGGGCCCTAAGCAATACATCGCGTGGAATGGAATCCGGTAAGTTTTTGGGTTTTGACACCCTATGTATTCTATCCACCAGGAGCATGTCCGCAGGGATGTCAGGCGCGTAGGCTCTCATCAGGCCTCTTGCATAGGCTTGCAGGTCATCTGGCAGGACTGTCTCTGGGACTCCACGGAGTCGTAGATTATTCCTTCGTGCGCGGTCCTCATGGTCCGCCATGCGTTCTTCCATGGCTGTCAGCTTATGCTGTATCGCTTGTAATTTCTCTGAGGTGGCGGTTTGCACCGTCTCTATCTCCTGGTGGCGCCGTTCCATAGTGGTTGTTCTTGCTGAGAGATCCCTCACCTCCCTTTTGATTTGGTCGGCGGTCGTCTTCCAGGTGGCGATCAGTTTTTCTGCCATAGTTTCCATTGCCAGTTCAAAGTGGCTGCGTGTCAGGCAGTCCACGGGCAGAGAATCCTCCGATGGCGCTGGGGAGGGACTGGGGGCGACCTCGTCTGCGCCCTCTTGTCCGGCTGCACGTGGCGGGTCCGCCGCTGAGGAGGATTCAGAATCTAGTTCGCCATGAAGGTTCTTTGTTGCTAGTCCCCAACTTTATCACTTTACGATCACTGTCAGTCTCCACTTGAGCCCACTATACTATTGTCCCATGGTTCCCAAATTCTCTGGAAAGTTACTGTCGTCCCCTTTATCCTTGCCATCAGGTCGTCCATGATTCTGAATTATCTTATCCTGGATATCACCACTCGAAATTCCGGACCCCCAGGTGAAAGCCATGCCGTTGCTATTGCTCTGCGCATGCTTAGAGTTATCTTGTGTACCAGTTTCTGCTCTTTTTTTGTCCATCCCTCAATTGAGCTGTTTAACAGGTATATCCATGGGTCCATAACCAAGGGTTTGTTGAACATCTGTTTCAACAAGTCCTCTACTGACTTCCAAAAGCTGTGTATCTTCGGGCATTCCCACCACATATGGATGTACGTGCCTCTTAATCTGCAGCCCCTCCAGAAATCGTCTGTGTCTATAGTATGCATTTTATGTAATTTCCTGGGAGTAGTATACCATCTGAGCATGGTTTTTCATGCCTGCTCCTGTAACGTGACACATATGGAAGTGTTTTTGTTTGCTTCCCATATCTCCTGCCACTCAATTCCTTCCAGTTCCTCCCCTAGGTCCGCCTCCCATTGATCAGTGTATGTTAATCTACCTGATTCTTTATTTTCAGTGCAAAGATGGGCATGCCTTTGGGGGTGGCTCCATCCATACACAATCTCTCGTAAAAAGATAGCTTTCCTTGGGCTGCCGTTCTAATATGGGGTCTTCTAGCGAAGTCTCGTATTTGGACATATCTGAAAAAATCTGCGGGGGTTAAATGGTTACTTTGTTGGAGTTCTTCAAATTGTATGACTTCCCCGTTTCGATATAGTTGGTGGATACGTTGTAGCGCGGTTCTTTCTATGTTTCTGAAGTCTGTAGGGGCCATTCCGGGTTGGAACTCTCTGTTTCTGAGTATTGGAGCCAGAGGGGAGGGGGACGCTGCAAGCCCATATTTGACATGATTTTCATCCCATAATCGGAGCGAATTGAGAATGGCCGGGCATGTCGCCCTTATCATAGGTCTATATTCCCTTGGGACCCACAACGTAAAACTGGGGCATGTCTAGTCTCACCATCATGGATTCGATTTCCACCCACCTCCGTTCCCCCGGTGGGGAGTGCCACATGGCCACCTGAGTCAGTTGGGCCGCAAGGTAGTAGTAGTATAGGTTCGGTAGTCCTAAACCCCCTCTGTCCTTACGTCTATAAAGGACTTGTCTGGTTATTCTGTGTCTCTTATTCTGCCAAACAAAATCCCCTATCGCTCTTTGTAGTTGTGTTTTTGTAACGCGGATAGGTAATGCCTGAAATAAAAATAGAATGCGGGGAGCATGTTCATTTTTACAGAGTTGATTCGCCCTATCCAAGAGATAGGTTTGTCCGTCCACATTTCTAAATCTCCTATCAGAGCCCTTAGCATGGGGTCGTAATTGCCAGAGTATAAGCATTCCAGGTCTGCTGTTAGATGGATGCCGAAATATTTTAAGGAGTCCGTTACCATCTGAATTTGATAAGTTTCCCTTATCAGGGCTGCATCGGCCGTCGTTAGTGCTGACATTGACTCAATCGGGTTCGTAATGGTCAGGAGGACGTCGTCTGCATAGGCTGAGACTGTGAACTCTTCGCCTACCCTAACTCCTCTGATATTCGGGTGTCGACGTATCGCCTGTAGCAAGGGCTCCATTGCCATCGTGAAGAGGAGGGGGGAAAGGGGTACTCCTGTCTGGTTCCATTGTAGCCTAAATGGCTTCAGTGGGGCCCTGATGACGGGAATCTTGACCGATAAGCTAACTCCTTTTGTGCAATGTAATGCTTGCTTGCCCAATCCTGTTTCACTATTCCCTGTCCAATGAAGTTAGCAAATTTTTGTGATTGATGTTAGAGGACAGCCAATTAATGGTGATTTTGTCACTGACACTTGGCCAATGAAGGCACTCAGTCATTGAGGTGGGATAGTATATAAATCAGGCTGTCGGGGGGCGGGGCCTGAACTGCAAGATGGTCAGATGTGTCTGCTCATAGCTCCGGCAATCTAGAGCCATTAAACTGACACAAAGAGCAGAACTCAGCCTGAAAGCCGACACAAAATGCACTGCTGAGCACTTACCAGCCAGTGAACCGAGTGCTGGCACTGGCGGACACCGATCTGGCGTGGAACCCCGGGAACCGGAGCTTGCGGCATACAGGATCTGACAGCACGTCGGTTGGGGGAGGCGGCCGCTCTCCCGACTGACTCACAGCGAGCTACAATCAGCCCTGCCACCCCCCTCTCGGACCGAGGGGGAAATCCCGGTCCCCACTGGGGCAAGCAATACCTCTGCAACAAAGGACCTCTACACCCGATCCTCTTACAGCCATGTGGTGGCACCAAGATGGCCGTTGCACCGCAACAACTCCTAAGCCCAGAGGGCCCAAGTAAACGATAGGAGATTCAAGCAGATATGCTAGAACTTCTGGAATCGGCTTGCCAGCCGATTAGCTCTACTAACCCCAACTGCACCGCTGCTCAGCCCAGCCGACATGCCGGCTCTCTGTTTCCCCCATGGACTAAAGGACCGCACAAAAGCGAGACCACAGCGAGACCACAGCACAGCAACCCACACTCCAGCGGGCTGAGACCCTGGAAGCCTGGCCCCCAATCAGGGCACTCTAATGAGAACAGAGTGGGCTCTGGCAAGTGGGTCTGGCACAGAGGACCACAGAGGAGAGGCAAAACCCGAAAAGCTCACCTGCTCCACACGGCGGCACCCAAGATCAAAAGCTCACAACAGCACGCCCCATCTCAGATCCCCTCTAAGAACGACCGGAATGTCAGCATCAGGGAGGCAAGGGCGGTCTCACACCGGGACGGAGGTCGGCAATGGCCCATCCACAGCTCACACATTGGGCTCCTGAACCAAGCCTCCAGAGTTGGCGTGGGATGACTCACATGGACTGCCATAAGGACTAATCATGCGCCGCAGTGCACAGAAGCAGGTTCAGTCCAAAATGCCCGCAGTTGATCTCACTTACGCTACTTAGAGTTAGTTACTCCTACATGAGTCCCAATACTACTTAGCTTTAAGCCTCCTGCCTGTGCCCACAACCTTCACTGGGCCTTTAAACCTTGACTCACTCCCAAAACTGAGTGCTGCAGTATCAGGGTTGTTTCGTTAAACCTGCATGCAAGCCTCAATTAACCAGGCACACTCTACAGCTCTAGTTTACATTAGCTACACTCTTGCATTCTCCCTATTGTTGCCTCCCCTCTGGAGCGGTGTACCCAGTGGCATCAATACTCAACACTCCTCGACATCACAGGTTACAGTCACTCAGTAAAGCTCAACTCTCACCACAATTTGAGACTCAGCACACTGTCAGTTGGTATAACTCATCTTAAGCTTGACTTGTGAAAGCCTGTTAATGATATGCTCATATAATGAAGCATGCATACTTTTTGTTTTACTTTATTTTTATACCCCGCCAGTTACCAAGCCTAACCAAAATCCTAGGATTAATACTCCTGGTGGGTACCATATCTTAAATCGACTATAATGTTGTCACTAGACTCAACTTAATTGTAATTAGTTCATCTGAATAATCGTTTGACACATTCTGATCCACCATGCCATTTATATATATAAAAAAACAGTGCAATCTTTCCTGCTATTATATGACATACCACTGCTTTATCTTGCTTTATCCTTTACAATGTTTATTCAAAAATGTATACATAATCCTGCACTGCAAAAATAAAGAATAAAAAAAAAAAAAAATCAGGCTGTCAGGGTGTTGGCTTCCATTCATGTGACCAGAAGACATATGCAATTTGTTTTGTTCAAAATGTACATTCGTACAATTTTCATGACATTTGGACATTCGGATGCTTACGAATGTCCGAAGTGCCAAAGTGACTACATTCAGCAGTTCCGAAGTGCCGAACCAAACCGAATGACATTGGTTCGAAGCAGACAAATTTTTTTACTTACCCGAATTTCCGAACCAAGCAAAATTTTTGGCCCATGCACATCCCTACTGGATACATTTAGTATAAATTATAATTCTTCAGTTTTTGGAATTCAATCTATTTTATATATTTAGTTTGTTTTATTATATCATAGCTTATGCATTATATGTTTTTATAGATGTATGCATTCTAATTGTAAATTAACCACAGAGTTTGCATGTTTAACATTTAAATATTTATGCATTTTTATTATGAATCAACATATAGAATTAGCATTTTTAATATTAAATACATTAATTATACAGTTTTTGCTAAATTTTATATAGTGGGAAGAACAGGTCGGTATGGAGCTAGACACATGGAGTGCACCAGGAAATTAGAAATCTAGGTACAGTAACACCTCAGAGGTGGCAACATACATAATGAAAATATCTGGCAAGTAGAAAGTTGGAAAAAAAGCATAAATTGCAAATTAAAACATAAGAAACAATTCTGCAAACGGGAACTGTACACCCATAATGAGGTCAAGTCCCCAAATGTTGGGGTCAAGCCGTCGTGAGGAGAGAATAGCATGACTGGAGAAGGATCCTAGTTGTGTGTGCTTGGCTCTCTGTCTAGGACAATGGCAGGAGCAGGTGAACCGGAGGTTGCCAGTAGCGAAACAGATTCTGCAGGTGTGGATCTCTTGTGGACTATTATGCATAACCTTCAGGACTGTGGGGACATCCATCGGGAATCTATTCCAGCTGTTCTCAGAAGGCTTGTAACATGGTTGAGGGATCACCGCCATTGCAGTGTAGACCTTCTGAGGTCTTAGTAGAAAGTAAGACTGAAGCCTTCAAAGGCATAGAGGGTCTTGCCCTGCAAA